ATCTCATGCCTCAGTCCTCAGCACTAGCTCGTATACTTGTGTAATGTAGGGCTTAGGGGTTTAGGGGTTTAGGGGTTTAGGGTTTAGGGGTTTTTGGGGTTTAGGGTTTAGGGTTTAGGGGTTTAGGGTTCAGGGGGCCGCAGTTTGGGGTTCAGACTTTATTCACACATAGGGGCCTTCATATAGTTAGATTTGGCTTCCTTTGAGGAGTCGATGAGGGTTACTATAAAGGTTATGTAGGACTTTCGGCTCTTCGGGTGTAGGGTTTCGGGCTTACAAATTCTTACAGGGTTGGGCTGTCGGATTCAAAAAATCAGGGTGTAGTTTTAGGGTTTAAGGTTTAGGGTTTAGGGTTTAGGGTTTAGGCTTAGTTTTTTAGTTGTCTGTAGGACTAGAAGCCGCAGGGGCGGCAGAATCTGGAGTGGAGGCATTGGCTTCGGTTCCTGGGACATTCGGGAGCATCCAAAATGATGAACCCCAAAACAGAACGCGGAGTAGTAGGTCCTCATGAATTATAGAACCCTTATCCTGAGAAGAACCCTCAATATCGGGACGCTTCTTTAGTAAAAAGTTATTCAAAAGACGCTGCACCCCGTCTTGAATAAGTTATCCCTAGCTGCGTTTATTGAGGGTATGCCAATACTATTACATCGCAGATTCCGGACAAGACTGTGTTTTCGAAGACTTCCCACTCGTCTGTCGTAAGCGGGCCGTGCCAAGAGTATGTGCAGAGCGGATGCGGCAACCATGGACAAGCCGAGCAGCCAAAAGTAGTCTGCTCGACATGTTTGATCTCCGTTCTCTGATGGTAGCTTTGGCCTGGACGGAAGTCTCCAAGTAAAGTGGCTATCACCAGTCAAAAAGATTCAGCCGAAGCCCAATCCCAAACGCTACGCGCCAAACCCTAAAGCCCTAGATGCCCAAATCTCCAGACCCGAAACCCTAAACCCCTAAACCCTAAAGGCACCAATTAAACCCCTAAGCCTCAAATCCCGATAGCCTAAAGCCCTAAAGCCCTAAGCCCTAACCCCCCAACAAACAATCTCCGAAAATCGGTACGACAAGGCCGGCTTGAAGGTAGTTTGCCACCCGCGGAAGGTTTACCCAGATATGGGCAGTTGTGTAATTCGGGTTGCTTTCCAGGGCCCCTTAAAGGGATCTATCAGGGTTTCTATAGGGTTTTCTTTAAGGGTAGTATTGTAAGGGTTCTATAGGCTCTTAGGGGTTTTAGGGTCCTTTTTAAAAGGGTGCCCTTGTTTGGGTTTCTCAGAAGGGACCCAGATATATAGAACTATCCATATTCATGCGGAAGTAAGCAAACTAGGTTCCGACCTGACAGGTGGGTGTCCGGGTAGTGGCCAGTCTTGCTGAAGGTATAGGGGTCTGAATGCTTGGTGAGAATATCTCCGAGTCCCTAGATCATCCGAAACCCTAACCTCTAAACTCCTAAACCCCTAAACCCCTAAACACCTAAACCCCTAAACCCTAAACCCCTGAACCCTAAACCGTAAACCCTAAGCCGCAAACCAGCCCCAAAGCCTCCAGTTGAACGTAGGTTTAGGGTTCAGGGCCAGTTACGGGTTTAGGGTTTAGAGGTTCAGGGTTTAGGGTTTTGGTTTTGCTATATCCCCTTATCGACGCCGACACCTCTGTCACCACCTGAACTACATTCCTTAGTTTTAGGATGAAGGGTGCAAGGAGAATAATATAGAGGCCTAAAGGATTACCAACACTATTTTGGGGGTTCCTTCTTATTTATAGGATAATATACCCCCAAACCCTATTCTAATTACTAAGGCCCCTGCATTACGACTGTAGGGTCCGCTCTTAAGTCCCTGATGCCCTCACGAAACTCCTCGTTGAGGGCGCGATTGGGTGTGAGTGGTGCAGTTGACGCCACATCGGTCAGAACCGACGCCACTATGTTAATAATGTAGGGGCCTAAACAATTACCATTACTATTTTGGGGGGTTCCTTGTTATGACTAGAGTATAAGGGGCACCAAAACCCTCTTCTAATTATTCAGGCCTCCATATCAACCGACTTTGAGATGTTTGCGAGGGGAACCACACGCTCTTGCACAACCTTGCAGCAGCTGCTACGAGAGAAGGGATGGTCTCAGCTCATCTAAACCCTAAACCCTAAACCCTAAATCTACTTTGCTCCTGACAAGCCGGCGAGGCTGGCCATCCAGGCCTTCGGCCATGGCTGGGCCGTGGGAAGCTGGAAGCAGGACCTCCAGACCCTAAGCCCTAAACCCTAAACCACCATCACGACCAGAAACAGCATAGTTTCTTCCGTACTGTTGTAGGGTTTAGGGTTTAAGGTATCTTTCATATTAGTATAAGGTACAGTAGATTTGTTGCATTCTGATCACTACTATACGAGCAACTGCAATCTTTGGTGCTTCCCAGGTGTCATACCGCCAGCCGCAGACGTTGAACTCTCAGACCTCGACCCTTCACCCCAAAGCCTTCACCCTAAACCCTAGTCCATAAAACGAAACACCCTCCAAATCCTAAACCCTAAATCCTCAAAATCCTTTAACCTTCTTCCTATACCCTTAACTTCACGATGTCAACACAAATTTCGTCCGAGGCTCCAGCAAAAGAAGGAGGTCATCGATCAGTCTCGGGAAGCCGTCGAGAAGCCTCGGGCCCTGGGGGCTTATGGGTTTAGGGGTTTAGGGTTTTGGGGTTTGGGGTTTTGGGGGGTTTAGGGGTTAGGGGTTTAGGGTTTAGGGTTATGGGTTGAGGTGCAGTTCTTGATAAAACGGCTCTTGGAGCGTC